ACTTGGGAGGCTGAGGCAGGAGAATGGCGTGAACCCGGGAGGTGGAGCTTGCAGTGAGCCGAGATCGCACCACTGCACTCCAGCCTGGGCGACAGCGCGAGACTCCGTCTCAAAAAATAAAATAAAATAAAATAAAAAGTTGCAGAGGTATATAAATCTGGTTCACTAGTAATTCATACAAGCTTCAGCCAGGTTCTCTCTCCCCAATGCCCAGTTATTTTCTTCTTATTGATCCCCTAGGAAAAGCCAACATACTGCCATTCCAAACAATGTCAGTGCTCGTTCTACATGCCAGGTGAATATATTTATCTACTTATTTTTCCTGAGTTTATAGCCATTCAATACGCACTTCTTATCTTGGCCTCTGTTTTTATCTTCACATCCTTATTTTCAGCCTTGAATCCTTTCTTGCTTTGCAAGGAACAATTTTCTTCCTACTATGAACTACGGCACTAAGGAATGGACCTTAGAAATTATATAGTCTAATTCTTTGCTGACACACAAATCCCTTTGACAACAAAGAATCATAAGTTCACGTTGAAAGGTCTCTACAACTCTCCCATAAATCTACAATATTCTTGATGTTTAAAATTTAGGGTAACAGAGAATTCACTAACAGATGAAGAAAGATAATGTACCAATGTAATAATTCTATAAAATGTCATAATCTGCTTTCCTTATAACTTCTGCCTATTGACTCTCATTTGGGACTGTCAGATGTATTATTATTAGGCCAGGTGCAGTGGCTCATGCCTGTAATCCCAGCACTTTGGGAGGCTGTGGCAGGCAGATCACCTGAGGTTGGAAGTTCAAGACCAGCCTGACCAACATAGTGAAACCCCGTCTCTACTAAAACCACAAAATTAGCTGGGCATGGTGGCGCATGCCAGTAATCCCAGCTACTCGGGAGGCTGAGGCAGGAGAACACCTTGAACCTGGGAGGCGGAGGTTGCAGGGAGCTGAGACCGTGCCATTGCACTCCAGCTTGGCAACAGGGCGAGACTCCATCTCAAAAAAAAAAAAAAAGTATTATTATTAGACTTAAAAGTTTAATCCATCTTTCAACTGATGGAGTCTTGAAAGTATTTGAAGCCAGGATTCTTATTAGATTTGACCACTGTCATTCCAACATATTTTGATATTTTTAGATGCTGATTTAGTTATCCAACATCATCATCCTTTCCAAGCCCGTGTCATCTGCAGACTGAACCAGAATCAGCTTCCAACTATAGTCTCATCGAAATCACTGACACTTTGCTCATATTACTTATTTTCCCTTCATGGCAGGCTACTTCTCTTCATCTCTCCAAATGGTATTTATTCTTTAAAATCCACCTCATTCATTCACTCATGTATTCTTTTTTTGCTTGTTTTTGAGACAGAGTTTTGCTCTTGTCACCCAGGCTGGAGTGCAATGGTGCGATCTGGGCTCAGTGCAACTCTGCCTCCTGGGTTTCAGAGATTCTCCTGCCTCAGCCTCCAGAGTAGCTGGGATTACAGGTGCCCACCACCACATCAAGCTAATTTTTGTATTTTTAGTAGAGATGGGGTTTCACCATATGGGCCAGGCTGGTCTCAAACTCCTGACCTCAGGTGATCCACCCACGTTGACCTCCCAAAATGCTGGGATTACAGGCACCTGGCCTCATTTAATCTTTAAATAAGAGAAATAACTTCAAAGCCGTTTGATAAGTGCTATAACAGGTAAGCACAGAGTGCTCATAAACATAAGAGGTTAAGTATACCTTGGTAGGGACAGGAAATATGGGGGACTTAATGAAGTTTCCAAGAGGAGTGACTCTATCTAACCTTAAAAGATGAGTATAAGCCAGAAAGAGAAGGGAAGGAACAAAGTTGCTACATAAAGTTATAGCTAATGCAAATTCATGGAGACAAGAAAAAGCTTATGTTCGAAGAACTGCACAGAATTAGGAATAGCTGAAAGACAACTAGGTAGTGGCAAGATAGGATGGTATGAGCAAAATCATGACCTTTCATGACAAGCTTAAGGAACCCGAACTTTATCCTATAGGTAAGCGGAAGCACTGAAAGATTTTGAATTGGAGAATGACATGCTCAGATTTGTGTTTAAGAAAAATTCTGGCTGCCTTTTCTGACAACTCCAATTCTCAATAGTCTCTGTGTCCTCCAAATATCCATGTTACTTACTGGGCTAATCACTCAATCAGCACTTAAATAATTATATAGTGTTCTGAACTTTTAATATGCTTATTCTTACATTACCAGTGAGATCATTAACTCCTCGAAGAGACCATGATTTACATTTTTGTATTTCCCACAACTTGCAACACCTAAAGCTCTACATAGTAAGACCTCAAACATAAAACCACCAGAGAGTGTTCTTAATTGGCCAAGTATGATTAGAAGACTGGCTACAGAAACACACAAAATGAAATTAGAACTGAGTTACCTACAAGAATCCAGTTCAATACACAAAAACCTCAAAACCCTGCCAGGCAAGCTGGCTTATGCCTGTAATCCTAGCACTTTGGGAGGCCGAGGCAGAAGGATCACTTGAGCCTGGGAGTTTGAGGCTGCAGCAAGCTATGATTGTGCCATTGCACTCCAGATGGGACAACAGACTGAGACTCTGTCTGAAAAAACAAAAACACAACATGCCAGTAAGTATCACTTGTGTGCTGATATAAGAAGGCATGGTGGAAAAATTAGAGCTAACTAAAGTTGTGTCCATTACATGTTCACATGATATCAGGCCCACTGTGCTTCACTATATTAATTACCTTCATAGCCAAAAACAGTCTGATTCTAATTTTAAAAATTTTCATTCTGATGACAGAAGTGTTCTTTCTTTTCATAATTTCTTTTTTTATAAAAGCTATGTATATTTGCTGTAATAGGTCAAACAACATACAGATGAAAAAAGAAAAACTGCCAGGCACGGTGGCTCGTGCCTGTAATCCCAGTACTTTGGGAGGCCAAGGCAGGTGGATCACGAGGTCAGGAGATCGAGACCATCCTGGCTAACACGGTGAAACTCCGTCTCTACTAAAAATACAAAAAAAAATAGCTGGGCATTGCGGCGTGTGCCTGTAGTCCCAGCTGCTG